AAAAGGGGTTCTTGGGTGCCACCTGATTGGAGGTGACCTTGGGGACACGGTTCTGTCCCATCGGAGGTGACCTCAGATGTGGGTTTTGGGTGTCACCTCATTGGAGGTGACCTCGGAGGTGGTTGTTGGGTGTCACCTCTTTAGAGGTGACCTCGGAGGTGGTTTTTGGGTGTCACCCTGTCAGAGGTGGCCCTGGGGGGGCTCAGAGATGACTCCAAGACGTGTCCCCACCAGAGCTGTTTATTCCTCCCCCGATGTCCCCTCCTCACGGGGGGGTCCCCAAAACCGCGGCCGAGTTCCCCCCTCGTCCCCCCCCGAGCTTTGGGGACCCCCGGGTGGCGGGTGCTGGTCGGGCCCCCCAGGGGTCCCTCAGGCCTCCTTCTGGGGGGGCGTGTCCTGGGGCTGGAGGGCGATCTTCTCCTTGGGGTCACCCGCCGGCTTCCGCTTGGCCCTGGGGGAGGAAGAGGAGGAGGAGGAGGAGGGTCATGGTAGGGGGGAAGGCCCCACCCATGCGGGTCCATCCTCCTGTCCCTCAATGTGTCCAGGTGTCCCTTCCCTGGGAACTCTTTGTCTTTGTCCAACGTCAACCATCATCCAACCGTTGTCCATTCCTCACACAACCATCATCCAACCATCCAACCATCCAACATCCATCATCCAACCACCCATGATCCAACCATCCAACCATCCATCAGCCAAGCATCCATTGTCCATCATCAACCATCATCCAGCCATTGCCTGTTCCTCACACAACCATCATCCAACCACCCAACATCCATCAGCCAACCATCCATGATCCAACCATCCAACCACCCAACATCCATCATCCAACATCCATCATCCAACCATCCAACCACCCATGATCCAACCATCCAACATCCATCATCCAACCATCCATCAGCCATCATCAACCATCATCCAACCGTTGTCCGTTCCTCACACAACCATCATCCAACCATCCAACCATCCAACATCCACCATCCAACCACCCATGATCCAACCATCCAACCACCCAACCATCCACCAGCCAACCATCCACCAGCCAACGTTCATCAGCCAGCTCTCAGCTAACCATCCATCCGTCCATCCATCCCCCATCCATGTCTCCGACCGTCCATCTGTCCGTCCATCCATGTCTTATCCATCCAACCATCCATGATCCATCCCTGTCTCCATCCAAGCATCCATCATCCATCCCCATCTCCATCCATCCATCCATCCATCCATCTATCATCCATCAAACCATCCATCCACGTCTCCATCCATCCATCATCCATCCAACCATCCCTCCATCCATCCATCTGTCATCCATCCATCATCCATCCATCATCCATCCGTGTCTCCATCCAAGCATCCATCCAACCATCCATCCACATCTCCATCCATCCTCCATCCCTCCATCCATCCCTCCACCCCTCCCTCCTCCCTCCCTCCCTCTCCCCTCTCACCCACCTGCTCTCCACCTCCTCGATGGTGTCGGGCAGGGGCGCGTTGAGGGTCTCGGGCAGGAACGCGGCCGCCACGGCCGCCACCACGGGGGCCACGCCGTAGACGGCGGGGGGGCAGGAAGGGGTAGTACTCGTCCATCATCTTCACCAGCGGCGCCACGATGCCGCCCACGCGCGCCATGGTGCTGCCGAAGCCCAGCCCCGTCTGCCTGGAAC